CAGGGAGCCTGACGTGGGACTCGATCCCGGGACTCCAGGATCATGACCTGAGCCGAAGGCAGTCGCTTAACCAACTGAGCCACCCAGGCGCCCTGATGCTCTGACTCTTTACAGTGCTGTACTGAGACATTTGCACACCTTTCACTTTGCTGCCTTAAGTTGTACAAGAGTGGAACTGAGCGCTCACAGAGCAAGATTGACTCCAGGAAGGTGACCTACTTCAAATAAAACCACTTCTTAGCAAAATGATAGCTAAGAATCAAAGTCACTGGTTATCAGGTTTTTAGCTAGAGGGGCTTGAATTGTGCTTCAAGGGCATTTTAAATGATCACAGTGCATTGTTTATATGCATTTGTGAGGTGGGATAGGTGTATTACATTTTATATACATAATATAAATCCTGCCTTCAAAAGGAAGCAAAGGACGGAGTGGACAAGAGAGAGACCTGTTCTGCTGATCTGTCTGTCCTCCCTGCTCTCAGCCCCAGTCATATTAGAGCAAGTGTCCTGTTTACCTGTCAGAAAGTATAGGCCTCTCCCACCTCTTTAGCTTGGGGTTTGGTTCATAGACTACTTCCCTAGAAGCCACAATGGGAAGAGATGGTCGAAGGCTACCAGTGAAGAGAAACACATTCGTATCTTTATTTTGTGGGATATTTTTATCTGTGTGTTAGTGGCCATTGGAGAAAATGAAAGGTGAGATGTGCAGTGTAATCTCTCCTCGATACTTCTTGGTCACTAATACTTCTTGGTCACTTGAATGCCGTCCCAAGTTACTTTTCTCAGATGTAGAGTAAAACTTAGAGTGTATGATCAAGGATGGGGTGGGCTAAATGCTCTAAGTCTTCCTTGGCAATAATAGTTACAGGAGTTGTTTGAATTAAGCTGGGAAGAGGGAGCTTCTGCACTGACAGTAGTGAGGTCCCGTAACTGCGCCCCCGTAGTTAATATTCAGAACTTTATTTCAGAGGGTGGGAAGAAGAAATGTCTGGGACCTCTGATGTCCACAAACATGAGTGCATCAAACTCCTTCAGTGAATGAGGTGCGGGGAAATGTGTATACGACAAAAGGAAATCGGCACCGGGGGCAGAAAGAAGTTCACTACTTCAAAATATTCAGTGCAGAACTGGAGAAAAAACACTCTTAAGCTAGCTCGAGAGGGCTAAATATTTCTTTACTTTTTTTTTTTTTTTTTGAGTGTAAATTTTTGTTCTTTTCTTAAAGTCAGTGGGCTCCCCCTTGTGGCTCCATTAAAGATTTCAGTTTCAAGGAAAAGAGCTTTTCTTTAGCAATAAGGAAACCATTTCTTTTCCAGTAGAAAACACTTTTAATTGCTTTTCCTTATCAAATAAAGAGAGAAGAAAAGGGAGAGGGAAAGAGAGGGAAGGAAAAAAGTGACTTTGATGGAAAACCTGATTTGGTGAAAAAGTCAGGCCACATAGAACCCCATTTTACAGTAAAAGCCAGCATTTCCTAAACATCTATGTGCTACTGGATGTGCTAGACAATGAGTTTGCCACCTTGGCCACTGTCTGCATGCTCAAAATATAACTATAAGCTGGTCGTAGAACCATCTTATGGGGGTGAGATAATGTTCTTCTTTCAAAGGAACGAGCTAACGTCACCGTTTAAGTGAGTGGAAAGGTAAACGTGTCATGCCTTCCTGTTTTCAAAAAAATGATTTTTTTTTTTTTTTTACATCAAACCATTTCTTTTAAGTAAAGTCTGGAATAGATCTGGGTTCTAGCTGAATAACCTAGGAATTGTTTAGCAGTTCATTTCTGTTACTGTTTCTCTCTCTAGTTACCTGTCTCTGGAAATCTGATTGACCTTTATGGCAACCAAGGCCTGCCGCCCCCAGGCCTCACCATCAGCAACTCCTGTCCGGCCAACCTTCCCAACATAAAAAGGGAGCTCACAGGTAAATTACTGGCAAGTGTGCCTCTTCCTGGGGATTTTCTGTTAATTTTCTGGCAAGCAAAGTTATCAAAATTGTGACCTCTGGACTCTTCCGTTTGTATACGTAATTTTTTTAGGTCTGTGCAGAGGTGAAACCATTGAGGAATATTTTAGGATGAGGATTTATACTTGGAAATCCTGGTTTCCAATATTTCTTGAGGTCCTGGGAGGGGTCCCATCATTACGCCATGCAACCATCGCTGGGTCTTTGGCTGCTGTACCCTTTGGGGTGGGCGCAGCGGGCAACACTTTAATAATAAAATGTCTCCACCCAGTCTGGTGTTTGTGTTACTTGCCAAGCCCCTAGGGGCATTCTACTTTGAGAACCCTGGTCTGAATTTCTCTTTGACACACGTTCAAGCCTGCATTTGTCAGGAGAGGGTAAGAATGAATTTCTTACATCTTTAGATGACTCCTCTTATTTTTGCTACATCATGTGCAAAAGATTTATTATACAGAGTAAAAAAATAGATTATAAAATGGAGCAATGGGTATTATTTGTTCCTGAGGCAAGTGTGAAATTATCTATTTTGCCATTTTGTTTGAGGCTTTAGGGAAGGCATTTGGCCATTAAAACATAACGAAACTACATTAGAACTGGCATTCTACCATGCTGAGTTTTATGGCCCTCACCTCATCCCCCTTTTTAATGTCTGGTCCTTGCATCTTGCAGGATTAGGTGAACGGTCTGAGAATATGAACTATATATTTGGTGCAAAAAATTCCTGTTTGTTCAAGGGTGTCTTTTTAAAAAAATACTTCAGAAGATTGTGGCAGGAGAAAAGCAGTTAAAAAAAAAATTGGGGTTAAAAGTAATAAATTAATTACTATGTAAAACCCATTGAAAGTCAACAAAAAAGTAGGTATGCTCCCAGGAAGGAAAAGTCTCATGAAGTCTTAGAAAATAATGCTATAGGAGATCTATACTAAAAATGATAAAATATGGTTAGCGTGGCATGAACAGAATTCTTACAAATTAGATGCAAAGTAGACTTTTTTTTTAGATTTAAAAAATAATTTATTTATTTTAGAGAGAGGGAGCATGAGTGGAGAGAGGGGCAGGGGTGAAGGGAAGAGGGAAAGGGAGAGAATCTCAAGCAGAGTCCGAGCTGAGCAAGGAGCCTGACACAGGGCTCAATCTCACAACCCTGAGATCATGACCTGAGTTGGAACCAAGAGTCAGAGTTGGAAGCTTAACTGACTGAGCCCCCCCAGTGCCCCCAAAATAGACTTTTGAATTATGTGTAGGATTGTTTCTTCAAAAACAAAACAACAGAGGCAGGGGGTGGGAATGAGAGGAATGGGTAAGAGGGTATAAATTTATTTTTTAAAAAAAGAAGCTGATATAATGAACTATACATTTCTAAAATCACTTTGTATCTTAGAAAATGACCAATCCAGACAGGAAAAGGGTAAAATGCCAGGGAAAGGAGAAGGTGGACAGGAATTGTGATTCTGAACACTGCTAGCTTGAGAGGCAGCATGATGTAGCCAAAAGAGAATAGACTTAGGAGTCAGATCTGACCTAAGGGAAAAAAAAATTATCTTTCCCAGCTGTGTTAGGATCTAGTCAGGAAGCAGAGACTGCAAGGTGATTTGAACAGGGTAGGTTTAAGATAAAGAATTGTTAACCATGGATAGGCACTTATCTACTAAGAGAGGATGAATACAATAGAATACCCTAAGGCTGTGGAGGGGGTGGCTATCTAAGCTTGGGAAAGAACTGCCCCCCCTGCCCAAGGCCAAGAGTCTTCGCCCCTGGGGAGATTGTAGGTGAAGCTACAAAATGGCAGAGAAGTTCACAGGATTGCCTTTATCAAAGCTGGTCCACAGTTGGTGGGTTGAGGTTGATAGGCAGAAAACCATGGTTGTGGGGCTGGCAAACTGAAAAACGAAATAACTAACTAAATAAATAAATAAGAGAAAACAAAACAAAACAAAGATACTGTAGGGGAGGGTGGATAAGTAAGACATGCCTATAATGCTCGTGTGAGAAAAAAATAGAAAATGATTGGGATTGATCTTCCCAATTGAAATAATTCAGCTTCTGAATTATTTATATGTATATATGTATATCTAAGACACATATAATAAATATATATACATATATAAGCTTCAGTGGCTATGAGTTATGCTAAAAAGAGTTCTAATTTTGGGTAAAATTCTGAATGATGGTAGTGTAATGTTGCAGATACCACTTGTGACAAGAAAGTAACAGAGGCCCCAGAATGGCAGGATTAATCAAACAACTGTCTTTTTCTTGTTTTGTTTTGCCTTCTGTAAGGTGCAAAGTCATCCCCCCACAGAGATCCCACAAGAGTTGCAATGCAAATAGATCTTTTCAAATGGAGTTGCCACCAAACACCTCTGTACCCTATTCCTATTTTTGTTTTTATGAACTCAGACTAGTAGGGTCTGAGTTTCTCAGGGTCATCATTTCGTTCTAGCAAGTTCTGTTGGAACCTGGCTCCAAGTTCCAAAAAAAAAAAAAATGAATCCATTTCCACCAGAGATCTGACGTGATAGCTTCTCTCCCCAGTTTTCATGTCAGCATGTTACAAAGGCATCAAAGAAATAAAGAAAAGTTCTGTTGCATGAAAAGAAAATTTGACTCCCAGGGTGTCTGGGTGGCTCAGTCGGTTAAGCGTCCAACTCCTGGTTTCTGCTCAGGTCACGATCTCAGGGTCGTGGCATGAAGCCCCGCATCAGGCTGTGCAATCAGCATGGAGCCTGCTTGAGATTCTCCCTCTGCCTCTCCTGCTTATGTTCTCTCTTTCTCTCTCTCTGAAATAAATAAATAAATCTTAAAAAAAAAAGAAAAGAAAATTCAACTCCTGATAATAGAATATCAACAACAAATTTCTAGTTTTCTAGTTATTTTTCTTCTTGTGTGTTTGTAGTGTGTCAGACAACTTTGTTACTGGTCTTTTATCATTTTGTAGAAGCCAAGTCTTTGCATTTATTTGATATATATTGCTTTTGAAAAAATACAAGCTTTTGAAAAATCATGATTTTAAAAACCCTATTTTTTTTTTTTATTGTGACAATCTGGTCAGATAAGTTTCCATATATATCTAGAAAATGAGATGTTTTGTAGTTTACGTCATTGTGTGCCTTAAACAGTTCCCGTTTCTAATTACTTCATTCACGTGCACAGCGTGTATTTTTCCCACAGAATCTGAAGCGAGAGCATTGGCTAAAGAGAGGCAAAAAAAGGACAATCACAACTTGAGTAAGTTGGTTTCATGTTCATGATGTTTGATATTGGAGTGGATGTTCCCCCTTATATCCAAATTGTTTGAAATCTTGTGGGAGGAAATTGATATGCATAGCTGTTAAAAGTACATTTATGGAAGAAAAAATGTTTTTCAGAGAAACTAAGGTTTTTCCCATATTTTGTCTCTGATCAAATTGAAATTTTTTCCAGTATTCTGAAGAGTACTTATTTATAGTAATAGTTCTGGGTGTGTGTGTGTGTGTGTGTGTGTGTGTGTGTTTGGTGAGAGGGAGACTTGATCCCCAACTACCCAATTATAAGTGTTGCTCACACTGGAACTTATTAACAAAAGGGGATTATGGGATCACCTTCTCCAGTGAGATTTGAAAGAAAAAAAAAAAAACAGTTGGAGGGGAGTCTGTGGGTGAGGTAGCCTCCCAAATTTCTGACTTAAACTGTGACTTAAAAACATATCTTCCAACATTTAAAATTATTTTTTATGTCTTTAATTTACTCTTAACCAAGTCTTTAAGCTTTTTCCTATGAGAACTAAAGATTTTGTTTCATAAACAAAAGTAAAAGAGACTGCACAGTTCAAAAAAAAAAAAAGATGAGGTTTGGTGGTAGGAAGAAGTCATTGACATGTGTGTGAATTTTTCATCTCACGGCCCCCTGTCCTCTTCTTCCTAAATTGAGTTTTAAGAATGTAGGTTACATATAAATACTTTGTCCTCATAAAAATGGTAAAATGAGACCAGAATTTAAAATGATAGAATAAAGCTAGAGTTCTCCTCTGATCCCCGAGAGTCATCATCATTGTAGTTGATGTTGTTGTTTTCAGTTTGCCGTTGGTCTTCCCAGCCTCTGCCCAGGTATTAACATACACATGCACACAGAGAATAAACAGTGGTTTTTGTGTGTGTCTGTTGTAACACAAGTATCATGTTATCCATGTTTGTTGCTGTTTATTTTCTTACTCAGCAGTCCATCCCGAAGAACTTTTGCTGTTATTAGTGTAGATCTGTCTCCTTTTTAACGACTGTTGCATACTATTCCATAGTGTCGCGTGACTGTGTGAAATTCAGTAATCCTACTACTAAGTGTTGATATTGCTTCCAGTTCTTCCCAGTTACAAACAATGCCATAGTGAACATTTGCGCACACGCCTCTTTGTGTACAGGGAAGTTTGTTTCTCCAGGTTAGGTACTGAGAAATGGAACTGCTAGGCCCCAGAGAGGGGGTGAGTGCTTTCTTTTAATAGATTCTGCCCTTCCCAGTTCCTGTTTCAGGTCTGAGAAGCTTTGCTCCTTTGTACCAAAAGATTTGCACTAATATTTCTAAGGTCTCCTCCAGCTTCCAAGTAATTGTACTCGAAGATATTTCTTCTTTTCAAAGAACTTAGAATTAAGATAATTAAGCATTATCCAAAACCTCACCTAACTAAAATGTGGAAAACTAAGCTGGATCTTGTCAAAAACAATGCCTTTACTTAGGCACCCGAACTCTCAAGTTTAGGGTTGTCAGTAAAGTATAAACATGATCAGGTCACACTCTGAGGGCTATAAAAACATATTAAAATCTCATCTAACCATTAGAAATGAACACTCAAGGTTAGATTGTCCATTGGCATAGCTTTTCCTCTCCTAGAAGCTTACCTTGTAAAAGTAGTTGCCAAAATGTGCACAATCATATATTCATTTATTTACTCATAACTATTTATTGAGCCCCATTTTGTACGAGGCATTTTTCTACAGAAGTGAATCAGACAGAGAGGCTTCCCACTCTTATGAGCTTCCATTTGAGTCAAGGGCAGACAGAATAGATGAGCAAAAAAATACAGTAAGGTGGTGTTTTTAGTATAGAGCAAGAATTACGACAGGAATAAAATGTACCTGTGAGCATTGGCCAAAACATTTGTTATACCGTTGACAGTGATGGAGAAATTGGAAATAGTCTAAATATTCATCAGTAGAGTATTTGTAAATAAATTATGGGATATCCATATACGGGATACTCAGTGGCTCAAGAAAAATGGAGTTGGTCTGTTTCACCTGATTTATCTGGGTGTCCACAATATATTACTGAGTGAAAAGAGCAAGTGGCAGGATAATATGTATAGTATCTCATTATGTAAAAAGATCACAGTGGTTAGAGATGTGCATGTGTGTGTGGGGTGGGGGATGTGTGTGTGCTGGGAGATTTAGGAGTTTACCTTTATCATTGACAATTTCTTCAGGCAAATAGGTGTTGTATGGTGTAAAGAGTTGGCTTTTACTTTTTCCTTTATGCACTTTTGTATGTTTTGCAATATTTTGCAAGTTATAATAAAAAATAACTGGGGAGGGAAGGTACTGCATTAAATTACTGAGGGCCTACTGGGTGCCAGATTCATACGGGTACTTGGAATGCCTCAATGAATAAATATACATATACATATATACATATACATACATATATATATTCAAATAAATGAACTATGCAGATGGTAGAAGGTTCTGTGAGAAGACAAAGTGCAGGCAATGGGATAGAGCGTCAGGATAAGCATGGGAGGAGGTGGTAGTTCATTTTTAAGTAGGGTGGTCAGGGAAGGCTCATAGGTAAATTTGAGTCACTACTTGAGGGAGGAGAGGTCAGAGCCATTCAGATATCTGGGGGAAGAGTGTTCCAGGCAGGGTGAAGAGCAGTATGAAGTCCTAAAGTTGGGGAGTCCTAAAGTGGTTGAGGAATTGCAAGCAGCCCATGGGGCTGAAGGGAGGTGGGACACAGGTGAGTCATGACAGAAGATGTGGTCAGAGAGGGAGAGGAGAACATGATGTCAGAGGGATGGGAGCCCACCAGATCCTTGTAGGACTTGGCCTTTGTCTAGGTGAGGTGGGAAATGATTGGCAGGTTTTCAGCAAGGGGTTGGATGCTCTGACTTATGTTTTGACAGGATCCCTCTGGCCATTGTGGTCTAAATAGACCAAAGTGGGTAGGAAGCAGTGAGCATGGGTGACACAGAGATAGCAGTTAGGAGCATTGCAGTCATCCAGGCGAGAGAGGATGGTGGCTTCTCTCAGGTAGCAGTGGAGGTTAGAAGTGCACAGATTCTAGAAATATTTTGAAGGTAGAACCAACAGACTTTGATGATGGATCAGATGTGGGATATGAGAGGAAGAGAGGTGCAGAATTGATTCTAAGGTTCTGGCTTAAGTAACTGGAAGGATGGAGTTACATTAAATGAGGTGGAAAAGCCTGTGGGTAGAGTTATTTGAGCATGGAAAACCAGGAGCTTGTGTGTGGAGTATTAGGGCTGTTCATTAGACCTCCCTGTGGAAACATCTAGTAGTCAGACATATGAGTCGGGTTCCAGAGACATGTCTGAGCTGGAAATACAACTAGGGAGGTCATCAGTGTGTATGTGGTGTTAAAAACCATGAGACTAAATGAGGTCACCACTAAGTGAATGGAGATCAAGAAGAGTCCCAAGAACAGTGCCCTGGGTACACAGCATGTTTGGAGAATGAAAAATCATCCCAAAGGATGTATAAGAAACTTAACAGTGGTCGTATTTGGATCATAGGGGACTTTTACTTCACCTTTTATATTTCAGTGCTGTTTGAATCTTTATGATTATTATATGCTTGGAAAAGTAAGAAAACATGTCATGCTTCAGAGTTTTAGAGGAGCTTAGCTAGAAGATCAGGGGTCCAAAAATTCCTTCTTTAGACCCATTGAGTATCACTATTTCTATTTTATAAAAGCTTAATGATAAGGGAGTATTTTATGTAACTGACTGAATCATAGAAGTGATCGCCCAGCTAAGAAAAAAAAAAAAAAAGTGTTGGGAATGTAGCACATAATATTATTTACCTAAGTCTATGGAGTATTAGTAGGTTAAATATAAATATGTATCAGGACATAATATGTTTAAAGTGAAATATTAACATCTTCAATCCAATTTATTAGACCTTAAGTTATTTGGAATTTATTTGCCAGAGTAGGTAAATTAGAAACATTTATTAACTCATATGCTTTACTGTTTCATCCTCCCCTAAGAAGATGGTAATTTAGCTAACCACGCAACTAGATTGATAAAATAGGGATGCCATTAGGATGCATAGTGTAGTTAAACAAGCTGGACTTGACTCCTGGACTTGTGTTACTCTGTTCTCTAGCCACTCAACAGAGCTGCTTGCTGAGCACTTGAAATGTGGCTAGTTCAAATTGCGATGTGCTTGTAAGGATAAAAAAGATGCTGGATTAAAAAATTGAGTACCAAGAAAGAATGTTCAACATTTAATTTATTAATACTTAAATAGATTACAGTGAAGTGATGGTATTTGGGGTATATTGGGTTTACAAAAATACTCTAATTTTACCTCTTTCTTTTTACTTTTTCAATGCGGCTACTAGAAAATTTAAAATTACAGAAATTACTTGCATTGCATTTCTGTTGGGCAAGACAGAGCTTAGAGCAGGGAGTTTTGTATGGCCTCTAGGCTAAGAAGGTTTTTTACCTTTTTTTTTTAAATTTTATTGTTAGTCACCATACATTACATCATTAGTTTTTGATGTAGAGTTCCATGATTCATTGTTTGCGTATAACACCCAGTGCTCCATGCAGAACATGCCCTCTTTAATACACATCACCAGGCTAACCCATCCCCCCACCCCTCTCACCTCTAGAACCCTCAGTTTGTTTCTCAGAGTCCATAGTCTCTCATGGTTCGTCTCCCCCTCCAATTTTGCCCCCTGGGTTTTTTACATTTTTAAATGGTTTAAAAAAAAAAAAAAAACCGTAGGAAGAATATTCTGGCACCCAGTGCTTCTTGTTGGTAGACTTGCATTGCAAAAAAATTGTATCCAGTTAATATTACCACATTTTGAATTTTGTCAGTAAAGAAAAAAAAAAATCTATGGAAATCTATTTTCTCTTTCGTTATTTAGGTACCTACATAATATCCTCAGTTTTGCCATTTGGCCCTCAAAGCCAAAAGTAACTCATTATGTGGCCCTGTAAAAGTTCGCTGCCCCCTAATCTGAATACTCAGGGTTGAGTTCTGGCTGTTCCCACTTATTGCTGGGTGTCCTTGTCAAGTCTCTAATATCCCCCAAGTAGTTTTGACATTTATAATTGAGGATACTCACTCCAATTTCAGTGGTGTTACAGGATCAAATGAGAAATTACAGCCTCGGGACTTTGTAAATGATAAAGTGCTGTACAAAGGTAGCCCATTTTTTGGAAGTGCTTTAACCTCAGTACCAAAAACATGATAACGATGGGGAAATACAGATTCGGGTTATATGGCCTTGGGCCGGCAAAGTTAATGCACACATGGCTTTAACAAGGTATACTAAATAGTATGTGGTGGCTGTTACTAATTGTCCCTTCCTGTGCTCTTTTCTTGAAGTTGAACGAAGAAGACGATTTAACATAAATGACCGCATTAAGGAACTAGGTACTTTGATTCCCAAGTCAAATGATCCGTGAGTACAATTCCATGTTAATCTGCATCATATATTTTTTGGTACCTTAATGTTTATTCATATGTTGCAAAAAGTGCACAGGTACAGAAACTAGAGTCAAGAAGTACCCCCTCTCTTTTTGGTTCCATTTCTGGTATGCTTCTTGTTCCTTTCTTTTGGTTTGTCTCATCAAACTAAAATTTTGAGAGAAATCAACTGAATTGTATTTAAGGGTTACTGGACATCAGCTGTTAGCTTTGGATATGAGGAGGTGGCTTTCTGAAATCTGAGACTCCTTGGCAAGTGATCACCAAGCTGCTAGAAAAATTCTCTTAACGATTCACGCAGGGCAGAGATTTCAATAGCTGTTTAGACTAGATTTGTTGACTATTTGCTGTACTCATACAGTATCTATGGGTCCTGAGAGCTGGTTTTAGAGACTTCGAGTTTAACAATATTCAACCGACAAAAGGTCACAGATTTTTTTTGAAAACTTGCATGCCCTCGGTATGTTACCAATCTGTAGAAAAGTAATTTTTAATCTTCTTTTTAAGTACACGTCAGCTGATTTGGGTTTCAGTTTCCAGTCTCTGCTTACCTCCGACCCCCTTTCAGACGGAGATAACAGTTGTAAAGATAATTTTCCTACCAACGTCAGCAAGTAGGACAACAAATACACAATTTTTATCCATTAGAAAGTGGCCCATTTGAAGTAAGGGGCTAGAGGGTGTATACATTTTAATGGCTCCCACAGGCATCCAATGAAATTAGCCTTTGAATATGACCTTTTAGCTACCTAATAAAATGTAAAGATGAAATCAAGCATTATTCATGCAAGGCTTATTAAATTTGCTATTCACATTATTGTCAGGGAATTTGTGACAAAATAAAATAAAATCATTGCCCATTGTAAGGTGGTTTTGATGGATGTTCAAGCACAATTTCCATCATCAACATTTTGCTTTCCCACGTTTCAAGGAAAGCCATTTTGAAACTCAAAACATTCAAATTCTCAGTTCTGCAGCACAAATTTATCCTACTAAGGGGCTGTGACCTTCATTTCCTATAGTCAGTCTTGCATGATAGTTGAAATTGAATTCCCATTTTCCTGTTCTTTATCAGCTTTCACTTTTTAGCATATTCTTTTAAACTGTAGCATATGAATCTCTTTAGCAACGTATTATGAAATTATGGGGCTGCAGTGAAAACCTCTATTTGCATATCTTCTTTCTCTATTGTATTAGAATACTTACGTGTTTATAATCTGAACTGATAATGATCTTTAATTGTAGGCATTGTTTTAAGATAAATGGACTATATCTCTAATGGGAGTTTTTTCATACCAGTTTCTGGAACAGGCTCTGGGGCTGCTATAGGGACACAGTCCAGCTGACCAGGGTCTTAGCCCCATACGCTCTCCTCCCCTACAGCAGATCTGCTTTTGTTAATTTATATATTGGGGATCTTTTTATACTTCTGTGTGAAAAAAGGGTTGCTCTCTAATTATAAGGGGAAAAAAAAGTTTGAATACCCTTCCTTCAAGCCTAAAGGCATAACTGATTGATTGGGTCTCACAAGGAAGCAAAACCTAATAAGATAATTGGTTGGAATAGTCACTTCTTAAAAACTGAGTAGCTACTTACATGTGTCAGTATGGGTTTTTCAACTTCCTGGCCTCATTAAAGCATCTTTCATTATAGTTACATTTCTCTCTGGCTGCCAAAGGGTCTGTTACTTTGATCTCAGCCCCGAACCTTAAACAAGTTAGCTCGGTGCTCCCTCTATCTCAGGACACCTCCCTGGGTAGCCCTCTTCAGTGCTCAGACCCCAGGGATCAACCCTCCCCCGCCAGGGAATTCTCTGGGGTCTGTAAGTCTGCCTCTCATGAGAGAACTGTTTTGTTTTCATCTAATCCATAGGAGGATCAATTACTTGGTGACTTGTTTTAATGACCCTCCATTCATACATCCCGGCTGATACTTCCCATCTGCCTCGAGCAGCTGTAGGTTGTGGGGTAGAAGAGTTTTCATACATGAAGTTGTTTTTGATTTATTTTTCATTGTCCTTGTCATTGTCATCATGAGCACTGTCTATGAAAGAGCTCAGATTAATTTAAGGTGCCCCAGAAATACTACGTATGTAATTATAATTTCATTCTTTTTTTTTTTTTT